TGTTTTCAGGTTCAGGGTAGAAGGGAGTAGTATCTCCCCCAAAGCGGCATATTTGGGATTTAGTGCCATCGAGGAGGAATTATGAAAATTACGTTTAATTCATTGGTTGCATAGTCTTCTATAAGTCCTTTTTGCTCACGTGTGGGGTACCATGTAACTACCATGCAGGGAATACCGTGTAGGTACAGACTGTGTAACTGATGTCTGTTTGTTTTTTCCTTTTTTAAATTTTAATTGTTGTCCAAGTACAGCTTTCTGCCTTTTTCTCCCATCCCAGCCCTCCCCACCTCCCTCCCGCGGAATATAAGTGTACTTTGATGTAAAAAATTATGACATTGATGGGGGGAGGGGGTCCAGGGCAGAGGGGAATAAAGGAGAGAAAAAAATGGAACAACTGTAACAGCAGAATCAATACAAGATATTAAAATTAAAAAAAATAAAAGGGGATAATAATAGCGAATCATAAAACAATGACGACTTGCGATTTCAATCATTTACCCAATCGACGCTTATCCCGCACAGGAAATCTTTTCCCCACGTTGTGAAGACACACGTGTAAATCTTACTGAAATCACGTCTCGCTTGTTTTCCCCGGCGTTGACCGTGTTGCGTGCATCACTGTGAGTCTCAAATAAACGCTGGTTGAATACGCGTCTCCCTGACGCCCCGAGCACAAACAGAAGCGGAGATGTGTGTCTCTTCACCTTGCATTCCCCTTTGGATTTCAGGCACGTGTGTACACTCTGTTCAGGCACCTTCCTGCGACTGCGACATCATTCGCAAACAGCGTGGGCGGTCAGAGAGCACAGGGGTTTCCTTCCTCCTCTGCGTGCTCTGAACGGCAGAAGGAAGTCGACCAGGAACCCGCTCACGCAAAGGACCTCGCGGTGACCCTCCCGATGGGGGCGCAACAGAAATAAGGAGCTCATTCCCGATGTCCAGGAAACCCGTCCGGCTGGTGACGCTGTGAACGTGGAGGGCGCGCCAGCCGCGGTGATTGGCGTGCCCACGGTCCAGGGGGCTCCCAAACGGAGCTGCGGCACAGCTCCTACTCTCCTGTGGATTCCACGGTGGATTCCATGGCAAAACCCCACAAATGTGAGGCTTTGACGTGTTCGGTGACGTGTGTAGGTGGGGACCGGTCCTGAATGCAGGGCAGGCGCTCACACGGTGACGGCTCTAGGGGCAGATCTAACCCCAACCCCAACCCCAACCCCAACCGTAACCCACACCCTAACCTAACCTAACCCAATCTTAGCCCTAAACTAGTCCACACCGTAACCCTCATCCCTGATCCTAACCGTTAGTATAAAGTGGTATGTTCTATCACGCAAATTTATGTAAAACAGCACCCTGTGTGGAGAACGTTGACAGGATGGGGGAGCTTTTGCACGGATAGGTCGAGAGAAAGACATGAACCGGGGTTGGTACCCATGGCGTGGGACCAGCTGGTGATGGGGGTGGCCTAAAGGTGGCGCTGTGCTGCACGAGCAAGGGGCGCTCCCTGGCGTCTGCAGGAGGTTGGCGGGCTCCTGGAAACAGTGTCCTAGCATAGAATATTGCATGTAACGAGATGAAGGATATCTGAAAGATAGAGATAGAGATGGAGACCACATGTTGACGCATGCATCTGTCGATGGATGCCTGGGCTATTTCTGGATCTCGGCGGTTGGAAATGATGCTGCACGGAACGTAGGGGTGCATCTATCTTTTGGTTATCCGTGTAAATGCCCAGAAGTGCCGCTCACTGGGTGGGGAGACAGTTCTGTGCTTAATTTCTGGAGGAATCTCCGTACTGGTATGTATGCACGTCCACATAAAGTCTACGGGAGGGAGGGATTTTGATGCTAAAAGGCTGGTGATTTTCCACATGTTGCCAGTTCTCACGGCGCAGATACCAAAGGAAAGATGTCTTTCAGCCCTGGCTGGTGTAGCTCAGTGGACTGAGCTCGGGCTGCGAACTCAAGCGTCGCAGGTTCGATTCCCAGTCAGGGTACATGCCTGGGTTCTGAGCCAGGTCCCCCAGCAACCACACATTGATGTTTCTCTCTCTTTCTCTCTCTCCCCCTCCCTTCCCTCTCTAAAAGTAAATAAATAAAATCTTAAAAAAAAAAAAAGAAAGACGTCTATCAACCAGTGCGTGCACGCACCCACAGGGAGAGAACGTGGGCATGCACTTGGGACTCTAGATGGATTCTCCCAATTACAGGCGAACACACAGTGAAAATGGGAAGCTCCGTGAACTTGGACTTCACGTACACATTGCGTCCTGGTCGACTGTGGTCCAAGACACACCTCCTGTGTGTGATGAGTGATGAGTTATCTCCCACGAGCACATGGATTGTGGGTTTGATGCCCTATGACCCGGGCACAAAGGGTGAGCTCGTCGGACCCCGCTGGGTCTCCTCCGCTGACCGGCAGCCCAGGGGAAGCCCCGTGACCTGAAGCCAGTGGTGCAATCGGGGAAAAGAAAAGAAGGAGACTTCCGATGATAATGACCTTCCACAAACCCCTGAAATGTTGCTCTGTTCCGACAGCAGCCTTGAGATCCCATTCCGTGCTCATTTTCACACCACGGTCGTTGCTTTCATGTGGCAGGGAAATAGGATGCGTGTTTTTCGGGGCATTTTTCCGTGAATCGCCTTTTAGGATGGACCACACCACCCCTGAGCCTTTCTCTAGTGTGTACGTGTTGTCTTTGTTGTCATTGTTCCTTCTTATATGAAACTCGGTGCCCAACGGGTCCCTCACACGTGTGAACCCCCACAGTCTGGGCTATGTCTCTCTGTCCCGGTTCAGTGGTCGGGACGGAAGGGGGTGACTGACTCGACCAGCTTGGTTTCAGAGACAGAAACGTCTCAAACACACACACACGTTTTGTTGGCTGAAACGCCGAGACTGCCCGTCAAAGAGAGAGAAGCCGTCAGCTTATTCATTCGCCCAAGCATCGAGGGAGACCCCCGGGCTCAGCTGGGGGGGGCCTGGCTGGCAGAAACGGGTCTACCCTGCCCACCGTCTCAGCCAGCATGGGCCGCCCTTTCCAGACGGGTTGGCTGTTATCTCGGGGTTGTTCGTAGCCTCTCGCACCAGCAAACCCACATGCACCCTATTTCTGGACCACATCAGACATCCTGTTAGGACAATCAGGACAAGACGGGAAGGCGGTGGCGTGGATGGAGAATTGAGATCCTGGAACTCCGCCTGGCGGGCTGGTGGAACTCTGAAAGAGAAGGGGAAAAAAAAAAAAACAATCCCTGGGCATGGAAGTAAATGAAAATTCCGAAGCAGAAACTATGGAAACACCAGCTTGGTTTTTTTTTTTTTTTCTTTAAAAAAAAAATCCCATTTGTTTGCTGAGGTTCAGAGGCGGTGGGAGGGCTGTTTGCCTCAGGACGTCGGGAAAGCGTTCAGCGTCGTGCAGCCGGCTCCCAGCGTTCAATAGGACGCTCTGGAGAGAAGGGGGGCGCCCCGGGGTGCGGGCCGTTAATTAACCGGTGGTTTCACGGGCCACCACAGTCACGTTTCCGCTGGGGCCGGGAGGGCCCCCCCGAGTTAATGAAGAGCCGCCGTCGCCGCCTGTGGCAACTCCTCATGGTGCTTCGCAGACACCCAGTGGGCAAAGTAGGTCGTTTCTGCAAAGAAACTCGGGGAGGGAGCGAGGCGGCTGGGGGCAGGGGGCCTGCTGGAGACACAAGGGTTCTGCCAGAAAATTCCTGGGGCCTCTCTGCATTCATCACCTCCCTCCTTCATGCGCAGAGAGAGAGAGAGCCAGGCCTGTCTCGGTGATTACGCGGCGCCCACGCTGCCGCCGCGAGCTGTTTTGTTCGTCAGACGGCCTGAAAGAGGCCCTGTGCCTCCCCAGCAGGGCACGGCTCATTGCATGGGAAACGGTGCTCAAAAGCGGGGAGAAAAAGGGCTCCGGGGCGAGTGCTGGAGCTGCAGCACGTTCGTTGGCAAGGGAAGGCAATTAGTGATTGCTGATTGCGTAAGGGGGGTGGGTACACCCCCCTGCTCTCAGCTCACGCAGGGCCCTACGAGCGTCTGAGATGACGGAACTCGGGGGCTGGGGGATAAACGCATGGCCTTCAAGGGGTTGCCCTGCATCTCCTGATCCCTGCCCTGGCTGGTGGGGCTCGGTGGACTGAGTGCCGGCCTGCGAACCAAAGGGTCGTGGGTTCGATTCCCAGTCAGGGCACATGCCCGGGTTGCGGGCCAGGTCCCCAGTAGGGGGCGCGTGAGAGGCAACCCCACACGGATGTTTCTCTCCCCTTTTTTCTCCCTCCCTTCCTCTTTCTAAAAATACATAAATAAAATCTTTAAAAAATAGTTATTTGTGTGTGTGTATGTGTGTGTAACTGTGAGAGGTTTTTTTTTTTTTCTGCATGGAAGACTAGAGGTGCTCACTAAGTTGTTGAAGTGTGGCATCTCATTATGTCGATAATTGACTTGGAAAGCCAAACATGAAAGTGGTATTCCATTAAAACGTTAATAAACACGTAATGAGAAAAAGCTGTAGTTCAGTGCTGTTACACACACACACGCACACACACATAGCCTTACAGAGAGACACAGGCACGCCAGTCCCCACCACACACACACACACACACACACACACACACACACACACACACACATTTTCCCCTGGGAAAGCTTCTTGTAGGAGTCCTTTTCATTTTGTGCAGGGAACGGACGTCCGCACCGGAATGATCGCTTGAATCCAGTCCGATGTGCACTCCCCGCTGTTGTGACTTGTTGCACGTGTTTTTAGACTCATCTTGCCTTACGCATTAGCTCCACACCCGCCCACCCAGGAGGCGTTTTACCACGGTGTCCACCGTTAACGACCGCCAAGCCCCCCTGCCGTGGAGAAAGGTGCCGCCCTGTTGCCTGTCACGGGCAGGGGAGCGCGGGCCAGGTGCACCGGGACCTGTGCCGTCAGCGCCGATGCACCGTGCTTGCCGCCGCTGAGCAGTCTCACCGTGCGCTGTCTTCTCTTGCAGGGTTCCTGAGCACCGGCGACCAGGCGGCCAAGGGCAACTACGGGCTCCTGGACCAGATCCAGGCCCTGCGGTGGATCGAGGAGAACGTCGGGGCCTTCGGCGGGGACCCCAAGCGCGTGACCATCTTCGGCTCGGGCGCGGGGGCCTCCTGTGTCAGCCTGCTCACCCTGTCCCACTACTCAGAAGGTAGGTAACCGACCGATCTCGCGTTTCCCCCATGGCGGGCGGCTGCTGGTCCCCAGGACCGGCTGAACCCACGGCCACAAAGTGACAGCATCTACGTTCTTTTTCTTTGGGCTCCGCTTTCTTTCCGTTTTTAAAAATGGAGACAGCATGCACATGAACCCAGAGATGGGTTTCAGGCGTGCAACCTCACGGCCCCTTATTTGCACGTGTTGCGAAGGGACGGACGGTGGTGAGTCTGACTCACATCCGTCGCCTCGCGGTGCTGCTACAAAACGCCTTCGAGATGTGGCCTCTCGGCAACTTCCAAACAGGCCATGCACTAGTCTTGACTGCCATGTTTCCCGGTGTATGGGGCGCACCTGCATTTCTGTGCGCGTCACACGCGGGATCGTTATTACGCCCGCGTGTCATGGGCCTCCTTATTTTCCCCTAAACAATTTGGGCACAGTGTATGGCTTATATTCAGCAAAATGCGGTATTTTCATAACACACCTTTTTTTTTCTTAACCTAAATGTGCGGGCGTTATCCGGGGCATCCAGTACGTGCAGCGAAAGGACTTCTCCCGCAAGGCTCACGAACCCTTTCCTTTGGCCTGTTCACCCTTTGTTCGCCCCACTTTAAGTGTTAACGCCTGATGTCCGCTTTGGGCGGAAGCCGTACGACACAGAAAAAGCACGGACACGAGAGACGTGGGCTCCTCGCCCTGGCGATGACGTCTTTCCCCGCAACGAGGCCGGCGGCCTCTCCTCTGTGCGAGGCTCGGTTCCCGACGCTGCACCGTACAGAGGAGCATTCGGAGTCCACTGTGACTGAGCACGGGTCGCTGTTCCGATCCGGGCTCCCCCAGGGTCCTTCCCCCTCGTCCGTTGGTGACAGAGGGCGTAAGCAGTTGGGAGATTTGGGAGATTTGGGAGATTTAGGAGAAGCTCAACAACACAGAGAACACAGCCAGTAGTAACACAGGAGTAACTATGGATGGGGCCGCGTGGGTCCTTACACCTATTTGGGGGGCCACTTCGTAAGTTATAGAAATGTCTAGCTACGATGGGGCGCACTGGAAACTAATGCACTATCGAATGTCAACTGGAGTGGAAACAAAATAAACATTTCACTTTAAATTAAAGAGAGAGGTCAGCAGGGATTGGACACAGCGTGCACCCTCCCTCGATGAACCGTCCACACCGAAAGCACACCTACAACGCGAAAGGCATTATCTTTACTTTGAATAGTCCCCCCAGTATCTACCCGTAAAGCACCTTCACCGTCCACACACACGCTGACCAGGGAGGGCCCCGCTGTGCCGCGTCAGGGGGTCCCCATTCCGCCCGCGAGTCCTGGACCCTCGCAGACGAGTCGCCCGGCCTTGCTGTGTCTTGGTGCCGCCATTAGCAGGACAGAATGGGTGGTCGCTTTTCGGTCCTCAACTTGGGACGTGTTGATGTTGCGTTTCCTCGTGGTGGACAAGGAGACGTGTCGTGAAAGGCTTAGGTGTGTGTTACCCCTTGACCACGAGGAAAGGGGAGTCATCAGTCGAATACCCACGCTCTTCCCTGTTTCTCTGCGACTCAGAAGCTTTGTCGGAACCCACTTTCGTAGGGACCAAACCGATGGGAGGGAGGGTGCTGATTGCTTGAATGGGTGGACAGAAACTACGATGCTGTGCGGTAGTGCCTTGCATGGCTCATCGGGGCCGAGGGCCCTTCCAGAAACAGCCCAGAGACAGAATCAAGAAGGACACACGCACCCGAAGGCTCGTCCTTAGAAACTCCACGTCCAGCACTGTATTCTATCGAACGCAGCGCACACGTCGGAGACGCATTGACACACATGTTTCCCGTAGAATTATCAGGGCAGAGCATGATGAAAACAGGTGAAAGATTTAAAAAAGGACCGTTATAAGGAACATAAGTATTTACGCAAAGGAGCGCTAATTAGTTTTAATCGTTGAGCTTCAGTGATACAATAGCATAAGGAACGCCATGTAAAAAATATGCGTGTGATGGACACCCCTCCGCAAAGCCAACTACGGAGGAAAAATAGCCAAAAAGAAGGATACTGACATACTCACGTAACTTGCATGTTACGGTATGAATTATAGGCGATCTTTTTTCTTTATTCAATTTTTCTCATTCTTCGGGGATTTTATTAGTTCCCGAACAGACAGGTATATCCATACTTCTTCCTCAGACACGGCCAATAGGGCTGAGACAGAAAAGTATATATATATATATATAACTTCCAGCAGTATTTTCCTCATTCTGATTGTTTGAACCCATCAGTGTCTTCCTAGGTCAAATGTTGGTGTCATTTATTTGAAGTCTTTTTGAGCATCCGTCTTTAGAATCCAACACGCGAGTCAGTACCTGCTTATTTCTGGCGATGATAAACACGGGGACGATGGCCCCAAAGGACTTGGGTACTGTGTCAGGCAAAGCCGCCTCAACGCCAAGTCTCAAGGTTGTCCACACTGTACTCGCTCCTCAAACTGCCCGAGATGTTTCAAGTTTCTCCCCAGACGGACGCGTTTAAAACAGGACACCGTCAATGGGACGAAGGTCTGGCCTGAACATGGATGCCATTTAGAAAGGAATCATCTTTTTTTTTTTTTAAATCTACCTTTCGGTGGGGTGTTCCAGCGAGGCTTTTGTTAGCCATCATTAATTCGGGGAATGGGATTGTGACACGTTAGTACCCCCGGTAGGTTGAGGAGGCGGCCGGAACTGTGTCTCTGAATGTATCCTCTTCTGAGTCTGCTTTCCCTTGATTTTCTTTCCCTGGACCGAAGCCGTACCTGCTTTTTCCCATGACACGGAGTAACCTGGGGGACCCTCCTTCTGGCCCAAAGCGTATTTTCAGGGACCGGGGGACGCCCGTCCCTGACACAGACTTTGTCGAGATCCCACTGGGGACCCCAAGCAGATAGGACAGCAGGTTGTGCGGGGACAGAGACCGTGCCTCTTTTTGTCCGTGTAGGTCAGGTGTCCACGTAGTTTCATTTTCTCCAGCCCCGTTTGTGGTGTGGTGCTGTGTGTGCATGCCTGCGTGTGTGTGTGTGAGAGAGAGAGAACACCCCGTAAACGCAACGCCCAGCAGCGGGGCGGGGGGACAGCGGGTGCACTTGCATGAAAGACATTACGTCCCGGGCCCAATGCCGCCGGCCCGGACATTTCCCAGGCCCGGGCCTCAATGGGAACCTTCTTCTTCTCCTTGGCGCGCGGCACAAGCCGCCGCTGTGTGTGCCGGCGTTTCATTTGCATGCCCCCCCTCCCCCCGATTCTGCACCTGCAGGCCTGTTCCAGAAAGCCATCATCCAGAGCGGGACGGCGCTATCCAGCTGGGCCGTGAACTACCAGCCGGCCAAGTACACCCGGATCTTGGCCGACAAGGTGGGCTGCAACATGCTGGACACCACGGACCTGGTGGAGTGCCTGCGCGGCAAGAGCCACAAGGAGCTCATCCAGCAGACCATCACGCCGGCCACCTACCACATCTCCTTCGGGCCCGTCATCGACGGGGACGTCATCCCCGACGACCCCCAGATCCTCATGGAGCAGGGCGAGTTCCTCAACTACGACATCATGCTGGGCGTCAACCAGGGCGAGGGCCTCAAGTTCGTGGACGGCATCGTGGACAACGAGGACGGCGTGACGCCCAACGACTTCGACTTCTCCGTGTCCAACTTCGTGGACAACCTGTACGGCTACCCTGAGGGCAAGGACACGCTGCGGGAGACCATCAAGTTCATGTACACGGACTGGGCGGACAAGGAGAACCCCGAGACGCGCCGCAAGACCCTGGTGGCCCTCTTCACCGACCACCAGTGGGTGGCCCCCGCCGTGGCCACCGCCGACCTGCACGCCCAGTACGGCTCGCCCACCTACTTCTACGCCTTCTACCACCACTGCCAGAGCGAGATGAAGCCCAGCTGGGCGGACTCGGCCCACGGCGACGAGGTGCCCTACGTCTTCGGCATCCCCATGATCGGCCCCACGGAGCTGTTCAGCTGCAACTTCTCCAAGAATGACGTGATGCTCAGCGCCGTGGTCATGACCTACTGGACGAACTTCGCCAAAACTGGGTAGGTGCTCCCCGTCTGGTTGTCCCCCCGCCCCCGGCCCGCCCTCCCCCCGGCTGTCCGGTTCCCCCGTACGGGTGTTCGCACGGCCGTAGCCTGGAGGCATGCAGGTAGGTGCTCACACAATAGTCGCCGTCCCCCAGCTTCCACGGGGACCACGTTTGTTCTGCACCCCTACGTTATTTCTGTCGAGGCTCGTTTGTTTAATCCTCGCCTCGGCGTATGTTTATCGATTTTAGAGAGAGGGCGAGGGGGAGAGAGAGAGAGAGAGAGAGAGAGAGAGAGAGAGAGAGAGAGAGAGAGAGAGAGAGAGAGAGAGAGAGAGAAACATGGATGGATAGGTTGCCTCCCGTACCCGCCCCCCTGGGGGTTGAACCTGCCACCTTTGCATGTGTCATAGGATGATGCTCCAACCTAGGGCGCCGCCCGACCAGGGCAAGCCAGCTTTTTTTGATCCCAGTGCCAGCCGGGCCTGGGAAATTCTGTCCCCTCCCTGCCCCTGCAGGATGTAGACACGTTTGGCCGTTGAGAATTTGGCATAGTGAATGCTGACTGGAGAGTTTGAAATGGAAATAAGACCTCGTCTCATTTGCAGGGGGGAAAAAAAAACAAAAAAAACACACACAAAAAAAACGAAAAATGGGAGCCACGCGATAAACATCCTAGCTGTGCAACCATGGGAAGGAAATAGATCTTCTAATAACTATTGAGAGATACTCTGTGTGTGTGTGTGTGTGTGTGTGTGTGTGCATGGCATAGCTCATTTTATGACCGTTGGCTTGATTGCTCAATGTTGCTTTTATTCATTTATTGTACAAACGTAAGGTTAAGACCCTCCACCAGCACAAGATGATGATGATTGACTGAAGTATCAGATGACGGGGCACCATTGTAGAAGGGACAAGATAGTTCTCACGAATGTATGGGCGTTGTTTTTCAGCGTGACGCTATTACTGCACATCCCAGACACGGCAGCAGGGGTGCCCAGCCAGGGCACCCCAGAATTTTTAACACACGCAACACCCGACGATTTAGTCCGGGGCATGGACCTCTTTTCCCTTAGATGCTCAAATAATAAAAAAAAACACACAATACAATAGCCATCTGGTGTGGACAAATCAAAATTAGACCTATTTTTTGGTCAGATCAGCAAAAGATATGTTCTTGGGTGTGCTGCAGCATTTTAGTGATGAGTGTACGTGTGCCGTGAAAAAGGTTCACCCGGCTGGTGCGGCTCAGTGCACTGAGTGCCAGCCTGCGAACCAAAGGGTTGCCAGTTCGAGTCCCAGTCAGGGCAGGTGCCTGGGTTGTGGGCCAGGTCCCCAGCAGGGGGCGCATGAGAGGTAATAACCACACAGTGGTGTTTCTCTCCTTCTCTTTCTCCTTCCCTTCTCTGTCTAAAAAAAATATGTAAAATCTTTTTTATTTTTTTTTAATTTAATCTTTATTGTATTTTTTAAAGATTTTATTTATTTTTAAAGAGGGAAGGGAGGGAGAAAGAGAGAGAGAGAGAGAGAGAGAAACATCCATGTGCGGTTGCTGGGGGCCGTGGCCTGCAACCCAGGCATGTGCCCTGACTGGGAATCGAACCTGCGACACTTTGGTTTGCAGCCCGAGCTCAATCCACTGAGCTACCCCAGCCAGGGCTTAAGTAAAATCCTTTTTAAAAAAAAGTCCAAAAAAAAATCCAAATTAAGAAAAAGGCTCAAAATCACTGGAGTCTGCAATACAGTGTCAGCGTAAGTTGTGTGCGCCCTGGGGAAGCCAAGAGTTGGATTCCCTCACTTTACCGAGATACTTGCTTTATGGCAGAGGCACAGAACCCCGAGGGCCGGATGCCTAACGCTGTGTGGTTATGAAATGTGCTTCATATATATATAGGAATATAGGTATAAATACTTATGCATATTGATTTCATAAGGAAATACACATTTCACATGCATGTGCATGGATGGAGATACGTCTTCATGTGCATGTGTACCTACATCTTGTTACAAAGCTCTGTGGCTGAACGGGTGGAAAATACCCAAGGGCTACACCCAACCACAGCCTCCGCCAATCCTCCGCGGAGCACCCTCTCGGCAGACCATGAGAGAAGAGACTGCCCAGCACCCCACCCCCCCCGAGTAGCCACACCTACCCGGACATCTTCCTTTCCTCTTGTCCCGTCACCTAATTGTGGAAATTAATGACGAGCCGTTCCCGCCCCGCCTGCCGGGGCTTCTGTCATTAACCTTGAGCCTCTCGTGCTGAATGGAAAATGGAGACGCACGGCTCCGAGGGCCGGGGGGGGGGGGGGACGACTCTCCCCGCAGCGAGCCAGATGGCTGGGTTGGCTTCCCACAGGGCTGCCCTGGGGGCCCCCCACCTCACACGGCTCCAGAGAGGGGGGATTGTGGGGCGTTTGGAGGGTCTCGATGCTTAGGGCTTTTACAGGCGGTCCTTCTCTCCAGGGACGCCCAGGACTCCTGGCAGGAGGGGGCTTCTGGAGGCTTTGCCGTGTTAGCCCGAGGACGGTGCGTCTCTCACCCAGTGGGAGGTGTGGTTGCCCAGGTGCCCACGCGGAACGGTCACGTTCTAAATATTTGCACTAAGAGAAGCTGCCCCGGGGGGCAGCGGGGGAGGCAGGAGATGCCAAGATGCGGGAACGTGGTCACCTGGCCTGAAACAGCTTTTTCTCCCACCCGGAGAGGCCTGGAGGCAGGTCCATTGTGTTGTGTACGAACCAGTGGTGTGTTGGGTGCCTTCGGGCTGTTGAGAGAAAGGAATCACCCAAAGCGATGTCCTCGTTGGACAGGACAGACGATGCCCTGAGGCGCTGGGGCGCACGCTTTCTGTTTGTTTAAAAAGGAAAGAAAGAGCCCTGGCTGGCGTGGCTCAGTGGATTGAGCACAGGCCTGCAAACCAAAGGGTCGCGGGTTCGATTCCCAGTCAGGGCACATGCCTGGGTTGCAGGCCAGGTCCCCAGTAGGGGGCGCTCGAGAGACTACCACACATCAGTGTTTCTCTCTCTCTTTCTCCCACCTTTCCTCTCTCTAAAAGTGAATAAATAAAATGTCTTAAAAATGAATAAAAGAGAAAGGGGAGTAATCAGTGACTGGTGTGTTCACACCCAGCAGCTGCCTCCAGCGACCATTGAACCAGGATGGAAAACACCACAGCGTTCTGCCTTCAGATGCTTTTTAATGTCTTTTTTTTTTTGAGAGTTTATGTATTTATTTTTAGAGAGGGAAGGGAGGGAGAAAGAGAGAGAGAGAGAGAAACATCCATGTGCGGTCCTGGGGGTCATGGCCTGCAACCCAGGCCTGTGCCCTGACTGGGAATCGAACCTGCAACACTTTGGTTCGCAGGCCTGTGCTCAATCCACTGAGCTACGCCAGCCAGGGCGTTTAACGTCTTAACTGTAGTTCCTACAGCCCCTTGGCTTGGCAGTGGGGGTGCGCACCCCTCACTGGGGGCACAGGCAGGGCATGGACATACAACGTCACCTGGGATTAATCACAGCCCAAACATACCCAAGGGGCGATGCTTGTTACCTGGTTGTGACATTTCTGGCTTCTTTAAGGGTGACAAAGTATCAGGAACAGACGGGAAAGCGTGAAGCGTGCATGTTGTAGAGTAGCTGCCCCCTGACCCCGAGGTGGGGGGTCTCCCCGAGGTGACAGGATAGAGAGGGCCGGTGGCCTCAGAAGTCCGCCGGAAGCATCCGCAGGCCATGCAAGCCTGAGCTCCTGTTGCCCCTGGGGTCCGTGAGGAGTGGCGCTGAAATGACACTTCACACGTATGCGTGCCGTGAGGTTTGTGCTTGTAATTAATTTGTAAGCCTGGTTGATGGGACTCGGAGCATCCTTAAAGGGAGGCACTCAGAGCTCCGTTTAACGTGCAAAGCCACTTCGGAGGTAAGTAAGTGCAGAGCCGTCTTCCCCAGGCTGCTGGTTTCCCGAGGAAACTGGGTGGGGCTGAGGGGCACAGTCCAGGGACTGAGGGACTTGTGAGCGGATGACACGGGCGTCGGAGGTCGCTGCTAGTTAGTCACGGAGTTGCAACAGGGCCGTGGCCTCAGCAGCCCTCTGCAGAGAATTCATGCCCTCGTCCCCTGGGGAGCTGCTTCAGCGGTCCAGGTGCGGAGAAGGAGCCCCCACGGGTGCCAGGTAAGGAAGGGCTCAGGGTATACACCACGTCCGGGCTCATGGTCCGACGTGAGAGGCTTAGCTGTCCCCTCCAGGGGCTACCCCTGGTTCGCAGCCTGCACTCAATCCGCTGAGCTACGCCAGCCAGGGTGACGACACGCTTATGATTTGATAATAAAAAAAGAGGCATTATTTGCGCTGGACCCTGTATATCTAGGTCCAGTATACATGAGCCATATTTTAGGTATTCCAGTGTATGGGTTGGCAGAAAGGCATGACATTTATCCAGCGCTTACTCTGCGCCACCAATGTTGGACTGAACACTTCACCTCCATCCCTTAGCCTCCAGACGCAGGGTTCTCTGCAGACGAGGAATCCTGGAACGTGGTCACGATTTCCCACGTGTAAAAAGCTCAAGAGTCTGGAAATGATTTTGGCAGCCTCGGATGGGGGTGGGGCGTCTAAAGTCCCTTCCTTGGGCAGGCGTGGTGTTTGCTGGCCAAGTCTCCTCGGTGCGTGCCTCCCGATGTCCCGGAACATCTGCTGACCTCACGTCTCCCAGCAGCGCCTTCCGGTCCCCCTGGTGTCTGGCCCGGGAGCCCGCGGGGGGCAGGGAACTTCCCCAAAAGGCACCCAGACGTGGGTTCCCTTTATCGCTGTTGCAGATACTTTGATGCTCTGTAAACATAGTCAGAGTATTATGGAAATGCTGCAAGGCTGCCATCAGGAATTGTTTTAAAAATACAGTGGGATAAAGAAGATGCAGTGCATTTTTACAGGGGAGGATAGGTCGGCCATAAAAAGAGGGAAATCTCACCATTTGCGACAACATGGATGGGTCTAGAGGGTCTTGTGCAGAGTGAAATAATTCAGACAGAGAAGACAAACACCATATGATCTCACTTATGTGTAGAATGTGATATATATATATATATACACACACACTCTCTTGCACACAAGGGAATATTACTCAGCCATGAAAAATGAAATCTTCCATTTTCAACAGCATGGATTGATGTACACACCATTGTGCCGAGTGAAATAATTCAGACAGAGACAAATACGATATGGTCTCACTTATGTGTAGAATGTGATGTGCACACACTCTGTCACACACAAAGGAATATTACTCAGCCATGAAAAATGAAATCTTAACCATTTTCAACAGCATGGATGGGTCTAGAGGGTGTTACGCAGAGTGAAATAATTCAGACACACAAATACCATATGATGTAACTTATGTATAGAATGTGATATACACACACCCTGTCACACACACACAAGAGAATATTACTCAGCCATGAAAAATGAAATCTTCCATTTTCAACAGCATGGATGGATCTAGAGGCTATTGTGCAGAGTGAAATAATTCAGAGACAAGAACCATATGATCTCACTTATGTGTAGACTGTGATATATATATATATACTCTATCACACACAAGGGAATATTACTCAGCCGTAAAAAAGGAAATCTTTCCATTTTTGACAGCGTGGCTGGACCTAGCGGGTATTGTGCTGAGTGAGTAAGTCTGGCCGAGGTAGACAACTACCGTATAATTTCAGAGATGTGAGGAATCGAAAGAACAAAATAAATGGAGAAATAAAACAGAAAAAAAATATGACCAGTGTGGGAACTGTAAGGCAAAGACAAAGCGGTAGCCATTCTCAGAGTCACGCAGAAAGTGTCCGTGGCTCCGTCAGTGTTTGCCGGGCACCGACAAACACCTCCAAGGAACGGGCGGTGATTTCCCGTGTGACGTGGTCAGACGTCCTTATGTCCAGTGGGAGAATGTGACCCCCTTTCTGCTTTGTCCCCCCTTCTCCCCCCAGGGACCCCAACCAGCCCGTGCCCCAGGACACCAAGTTCATCCACACCAAACCCAACCGCTTCGAGGAGGTGGCCTGGTCGAAGTACAACCCCAAGGACCAGCTCTACCTGCACATCGGCCTCAAGCCGCGCGTGCGCGACCACTACCGCGCCACCAAGGTGGCCTTCTGGCTGGAGCTGGTGCCCCACCTGCACAACCTCAACGAGATCTTCCAGTACGTCTCCACCACCACCAAGGTGCCCCCGCCCGACCTGACGTCCTTCCCCTACGGCACGCGGCGCTCCCCCGCCAAGATCTGGCCCACCACCAAGCGCCCGGCCATCACGCCCGCCAACCACCCGAAGCACTCCAAGGACCCGCACAAGACGGGGCCCGAGGACACCACGGTCCTCATCGAGACCAAGCGGGATTACTCCACCGAGCTGAGCGTCACCATCGCCGTGGGCGCGTCGCTGCTGTTCCTCAACATCCTGGCCTTCGCCGCCCTCTACTACAAGAAGGACAAGCGGCGCCACGAAACGCACCGGCGCCCCAGCCCGCAGCGCAACACCACCAACGACATCGCGCACATCCAGAACGAGGAGATCATGTCGCTGCAGATGAAGCAGCTGGAGCACGACCACGAGTGCGAGTCGCTGCAGGCGCACGACACGCTGCGCCTCACCTGCCCGCCCGACTACACGCTCACGCTGCGCCGCTCGCCGGACGACATCCCGCTCATGACGCCCAACACCATCACCATGATCCCCAACACACTGACGGGCGTGCAGCCGCTGCACACTTTCAACACCTTCGGCGGCGGGCAGAACAGTACCAATTTGCCGCACGGGCACTCCACCACCCGAGTATAGCTTCGCCCGCCCCGCCCCTTCCCGTGCGCCTCCGCCAGCTGCGCGCGCGCGCACGCGGGGGAGCAGAGAAGCCGAGAGGCCACGCCTCCACCCCTGGAATGTTCTCCACCCCGCCCGCCCGCCCGCGCAGGACCACGCCCACCAAACCCACGGCCAGAGGGCAGCCCATCCTGCTGTCCGTGCGGGCGCATCCCCTTGGCCCTTGGCACGGGATCCACTTCTGACCCTACGAAATGTGAAGCGGAGACGCCGCGAGCGCCAACCCTGCGCTCCGATGGCCACCGCTGCCGCCCCGAGAACCTTTGGGGACCAGGCCCCGCGCCTGTCCAGACCCTGGGTCCTCTCCAACCTCACCACCCGAGCTGACTGCTCTGGAACTCAGCCAGGGACGCTCCACGGTGGTGGTTGGTTTGTTTTTTTTTTTTAAATTGCAATTTCAAAATAATAATAATAATAATAAAGTTCTTTATGTGCCATAGGACAGGTGGTTCTAGTGAAGGGAAGAAAGACTCTACGGGCGTTGACCCAGCAAACAGCTCCAGTCCAAGAAGGGAGAGAGAGACCTGCGATTTTATTCTTCAAAGAGAACCGCTGACTATGCAGAAGCGGACGCGGGCCTGTGTGGGCAGAGGGGTGTTTGGCCAGCCTGGACTCTATTTAAGAACCTTGGTCACAATAAAAGGAACATGTATATAGCTGTTGAGTGGAAACACACAGACACTCCCCCCCCCCACTCCTCCCCGCCCCCCCCCCGCCCCCCGAGAAAACACCACGACAAAACAAAACAGGCTTTTATCGGTGTTTTTAGTTTGAAAGAGCTTTTAGCAAGATTGTACTATTCTCACTGTGGTTTGTATGTATATAAATATCTATATATATACACACATTAGTCACATCACCTCTGTTTCCTGCACACGGTAGGAGGCACTTCTTCTGAATTCCTTGCGAGGAGGAGGAGGAGGAGGAGGAGGAAAAAAAAAACAAAAACGGTTTTGTCTTGCGTTTTCCGTGTAGCAGGGGGCGGCGTCTGTGTCCCCGGGGACACCTCCCCCTTCCCGGGATGTACCAGTGCATGTGACAGCAACCTTAGGGGACTGTTGTTTTAGGGAACGTTTTATTTTATTGCGTGTGCGTGCGTGTGTGTGTGTGCGTGTGTGCGAGAGAGGCCTTCATGAAGTCGTCACACAAAGACGCTCTGCGTGGAGTCTGTGGAAGGCCCGTGGCCCGAGAGACACGCACAGGCGGACCCCCATCAGCGCCCCCCGCCCCCCAAAAAAAAAGAAAGAGAGAAAGAGAGATTTCAGTGCTGTCACTCTGGCTCTTGGAGTGTGTTAGGGAAGCGGTGCTTCCCAGCGCAGGGCCCTGCCAGGAAGGAGAGGAAGCAGGCCTTTGGCGAGGCGCGCGCGCGCTGCAGAATCAGTGCGCCTCTGTTCTCCATCCGCAGCAGCTGCACCAAGGGCCGTGCAAGGCTCGCAGGGGGTGGGGGGGGGTCCCTAGCTCAGCGCCCCCTTCCCCGTGGCAGGAGAGTGCCCGCCTTCCCTTCTCTGTGGAAGCGTGGCGTCCCTCATGTTATCAGCGAGTAGGGTTTTGGTTGCTTTGCTTTTTTCGTCGTCTTTCTGGGTTCGTCTCCCAACATGGCTTTGGGCAGATTTGCGTATCCGTCTGTGGTCACGAACACAGCAGAGAGAAAAACGCGCCCCGAGAGGGAGGCGGAACCCCAACCGCGCTTGGCGTGGGTTGTCCAGGAAGTTGGGGGGGGCTTCCCTGCGGAGGTGACCCCTGGAAGTCATTCGCCCGTTTAGAGTGGACAAACGGACATGTGGTCATTTTCTCGTTGTCCTTTTCATCTTCCGTGAAGACTATGTTGACTGTCATAAAGGGAGGGGGGTGGAGGGGGGTGGCCACACAGGGGCCAGTTTCCATGGTTACGTTTCGTCTCGCAGAAATCATTGCAACCCCGGGAAAGAGTAGCCAAAGATAATTGCAGAGGGCGTCCCTGGGCCGCATGGGGTGTCCGGTGGAAACCCAGACTTCGGTGGCGTGGTGAAGGCGGGTGGGTCCCCCCAAACAGCCCCACTTTCTCCGGATACCAGGCAACGGGGGTAGCTGTTGAAACCAGAGCGCCCCAGAAAAAAAGCCCTCCAGGGAAAAGACACTTCTTAGAAAGGGTGGACGGTCGTGTCTCTCTCGGTTGAAATTGGAGGAGGAGTCCCACCCCCGCCCCCCACCCCCACCCCCACCCCCACCCCTATCGGGACGCGGGGAAGTGGGACGCCTCTCTGGCCGCGGGAGGAGAGGCTGCGCGTCCCCGGTGCGCAAACTTCATTCACCAGCGAGCGCCACGCCATCCCTCGGGCTCCGGATGCGGCCCGCAGACGCACGCTCCGTCACAGCGCAGGGGAGGGGCGCGCGCGTGGGTGTGGGTCCGTCTGTGACGCGAATCCCGGTGTGTGTTTATAGTCTTTCCCGTCGTCTTCAGCTAGCAATATGCCCAGTACTGTATCAGGCTTGTCCCATGTGGGTAAGGGGCGGGGGAAACAAACAAAAAAAAAGAGTTCTTGTTTAAGGGAATAAACTACTTTAGCTTTTACAGAGGATTATGATCCAGAGCAATTTAATACGCCTTCAACGAGACCGTATTTCTACGTGGGAAGGAGTTCTAGAATCTTCATAGAGTTCTATGAGAATAAAATATCCTTGCTGTCTATTAAAAAAAAACTGAAAAAAGAGGAAAATGAGAAAAAAAATGCGTAAAAAAATTTTTTTTTCCTTTCCTAGGCTTTTTTTCTTCTCGCCCTTCACAGGCACGCAGGGTTTAATGGTTTCTTGGGGTTATTCTTTTGCGATTCTGTTTTTGATTTTTGCCTTAAGTAATGATAGAACATATATATATATGGCTGGACACATATGTATAAACTTTTCAGCAAGCATTTTTAATAATAAAATATCACAGTATTTTCTAACGCTCTGTGGAAGTCATTACGCGGCCCGCCGTGCTGCAGGCGGGGGATGGGTTGGTGTTGCTTCTTTCCGGCGCGCCCTTTCACGTGCCCAGTGAAGTGTTGGGGCGGAATTAAAATTATACGGGGAGCACTCCACCGCCGCTGAGGGGTCGGTTTCCTGCCGCTCAGAGCCCACTGTCTATCCAGGCTGTGGTTGGGTCCCTTCCTCGGGCCTGACCTTGGTGACAGAAGCTCTTGGGTGGAGGGACTCCTTGGGTGACATGTCGGGACAGCCCAACACGGCGCACCGGGCACGTGGCCATCCAGAATGTCTCTGGGTTTCCAGTTGTGGGTGATGCCACGGGGCCCTTTCAAGCACAGGGCGTTCTTTTGAGGAAATCTCCAAGGGACGGCCAAAAAGTCCTACTGCGTGAAATCCCAGAGTCAGAAAAGCAAGCGCTGTGGTACCGGTGAGGGCTCATCTGCCCTGTTCTCACCGCCCATCTGGCCACACCTTCTGTCTCATTTCACGTTCACTGTTGCCCTCAGGGGCAGCACCTGTGTTCACATGTCAACAAAAGAAATTGGGGATCAGAAACTTTCTGAGTAGTTGGGATTCTCAACATCGGGGCATGTTGAGTCCACTTCAGTGGTTGCCGGCGGTCCTTGATGTGTCTCAACTCAGGATGGCTGGGCATGACCTTCCTCCGAGGTCACCTACAGTTACAGTTGACCCTTGAACACGGGCAGTGGTTAGGGGCACGGGCAAACGCCCCCTCCTCCCGGTCGAACACACACACAAATTCAGACTTTCCCCAAACCTCGCCTCCTGTGCCCAGGCATACTCACCAATCGCGCAAACAGCCAATTAACAGACACTGCAATGGCGTGTGTGGTGTGTGTATTATATAGAATGTCCTGAAAGTAAGCTAGGCGAAAAGAAAACGTTACTTAAAAATCATAAGGAAGAGAAAATATATTTGCAGTGCTGCCCTGTGTTGATTAATCCTCTACGTTCATATCAGCTGTTTATAAGAACAATTGCCTGTCTGTGCCTACATCAGTGTTGTCTTACACGATGTGAAAGTCTGTATGTTTTATACGTATTGCTAACCATAGACGTGAGAAATGACCAGGTGAAGGGAGATTGCTATTTGTTTACATAGAAGTGCAATACGACCGCTTGGTGGCTGTCTAGCGGAATCAATAGGCTTGCTTCGTGGCAGTCGGGGGACCTCGAGAAGTTTTCCGGTATCATTCGAACACTTCATCGCGGGCCTTGGCTGGGCGGCTCACTCGGTTGGCCTGCCGTCCCGTGCGCCAAAAAGTTGTGGGTTCAATCCCCGTCAGGGCCCACGCCTAGATTACGGGTTCCGTCCCCGTTGGGGTGCACACAGGAGGCAGCGGACGATGCTTCTCACATTGATGTTCCTCCCTCTCTCTCTCTCTCTCCTCTCTCTCTCTCTCTCTCTGTCTCTCTCTCTCTCTCTCTCCACTCCATAAGCATATCCTTGGGTGAGGATTTTAAAAAATCCATCCATATAAGTGGACCTGTGAAGTTCAAATCCTTGTTGTTCAAGGGTTGAGTGTATTGTATTTTATCTTTTTAAAGATTTCATTTATTTATTTTTAGAGAAGGGGGAAGGAAGGGAGGGAGACAGAGAGGGAGAGAGACATCCATGTGTGGTTGCCTCCCGTGCGCCCCCTACTGGGGACCTGGCCTGCAACCCAGGCCTGTGCCCTGACTGGGAATCGAACCTGTGACCCTTTGGTTCGCAGGCTGCACTCCATCCACTGAGCCACACCAGCCAGGGCTCCACTGTGTTTTATACATGGTGGACCCACTGCGTGTTAGACCTGAATTTTCAAACTGGTTAGTGGCAGTCAGAGGGCCAGGCTGTTTTTCCTTTTTTCAGAACGTCTTTCAAATAAATGAACTCGCCGCGTCGTGTTTTATGAGACACGTGATTAGGGGAAAAAATGTGGTTCTGCCAAGGAAGTAAAAGCAGACCTCTCTCTCTCTCTCTCTCTCTCTCTCTATATATATATATATATATA